CGCACCAGCCACTTCGCCCTCTTCCAGATCTGGCCTTCCAGACACAGGGCCCAGATTGAAGAGGAGAGAGTGCAAAACATAAAACACATGTCTATTTTAATTATAAACTTGCATGTCTTTGCCGAAACTGCTATCTGCCTAAACTACCAGCTGCTACAGCAGTCAGGAAGTCTGTCGAGACCCCAAGCAGAGCAGAACAGATGAGTTCCGTTAGCGATCGGGTGAACGTTCATCAACGAGTGTCAGTATCTACAGACCTAAATTGACAAGACAACGGCCTCGTGGCGCAATGCTTAGGGCGTTTGACGCCGATCAAAAGGTCGCGAGTTCAAGGCTCGGGTGGGCCGCCACTTGGGTCTGGATATGCCTTGCTGACGACGGCTGATAAGCTGCAGAAATGGCCATTTTAGTCTCTCTTGCCTCTACCGGAAATACTATCTGCATAAACTAACTTGTCAGAAAAACACAGCCTTTCCGCTGCCATGCCGGAGTGGAAGGGGGGAGGGCATACCGTGTGATTCGTCGAAATCGACAACCGAACTGTCCTAGAACCTTCATGGTTAAGCAGCCCACGTTTGCGTAACGTAGTTGCTAGGAGTTATTGTCTTCTGTCCTGTTCCCCCCAATAGGACTTTTTTGTATCCTACAGCTAAACACTTTGGACAAGTGCAATTGTTATGAGGGAGAGGAGGGGGGTGGGGTTTGGCAGATGTACTTAATTCAGTTGACCCAATTGTGAAAAATTCGCGGCCTCGATGGAAATCGAACCCACACAGCAGGGAAGACTTTTGTGCAACCAGCGTTCTACCATTGAGCTACGAGGCTCACCGAGAGTCGTTAATTTAATCACAGTTCAAATGTTGAGAGTTGGGCAATATTACAGACGCTAAATTGATAGCTTCAGGGAAACAGTATACTTTTTGATTATGTAAAGGAGAAAGCAGGCTGACGAACTGCGTGGCTTATATTTCCATGCTAGGCTAAATCACACAGGAAGTGCAGACCCGACGCTGTGAGCATTAATCACTTCTGACGAGCTGCAAAAAAAAAACAATTAATGGGAGACCGAGTGCAGAGACACCCAATTCGAATGCGCGCAGGGCAGGGCAGTAGTGCAGATTAATAAATGCTGCAGGTACGCTGTTCGCGTTCGAGCAAGTGCAAAAAAGAATGCGTACTATTTTTTTCTATAACCCGCTCTTCCTTTTAAACTCCGACAATAATGTGTGCGCGGACCATTTATCGACGTCTCAGCGCATTTTCCTTATTATAACCAACTGGACACACCCGAATCTAACCCGGTACGCTAAAAGCCGTTGCTTGGAAAGTTGCCATTTGACGGGATGAGTTCGATCGTGTAGTCGGCCCAGAGTATGCTTGTGACGAGTGGCGGACTGAGAGTTAGGCTATTCTGGCTTCTTCCTAATGTGACCCATGGCACATCCACTCATTGAGGGCATACAGCGAGATTCGTCTAAATCAACAATCGGACTCTCCTAGAACCTTAATAGTCGAGCAGCTCATGTTTGAATTCTGTATTTGTTTCCGGTCCTGCTCACCATAAGGCCTTTTCTTTTGCAATATAAATAAATACTTTGGACAAGTGCAATTGATAGCTCAAGCGAACAGTGTGCATTTGAGGAGTAATCAGGCCAACGAACTGGGTTGCTAATACTTCATTCTTGTAGGCCAAATCACACACGAAATGCAGACGACCCAAAACTGCGAAATGCAACAAAGTGGTCAAACCGAGCGCAGCGACAAGATTCGAGTGCGCGCAGGACAGGGCAGTAGCAGTACAGATTAATAAATGCAACA